TGCCGCGGTCAGGGTCACGTTCAGGTGACCTTTATATTTAAAAATACTCATCAAATTTTGACCAATCAGAGACCCTCTTTCAAAAGGGCGCTCGGAGTTGTAACAAATATGGCGGACATTGATGAAAATGATACGAAAGTTCTGAAGTTATTTGAGATTGATCGTCTGAAACCCGAACAGAAAAAGATATTCGAAGCTTTATTAGAGAAGAAAGACCGTATGGCGGTGTTGCCTACGCAATTATTACCCAATGGGTATGTTTTCCTTGCCGTCGTAGAAACGCCAGTTCCCGCCGCCATATTTGTTTTGGAAAACTTATCTGTTCGATACCTATTTATCTATCGACCATGATATTCCGATTCGCCGCCTCTGATTGGTTCATCTAAAGGTCATTTGAACGTGACCCTGACCGCGGCACATTCAGATGCTCAGGCGGAGTCATGTAACAGATGATTTCAATCAGATTGAGGCTCAGGATGAAATACAGCGCTCTAACTTATTACCTTAACTCTAAGACCTCTATATACTGGTGAGCTGTAATTGTTACACATGCTATCACTAAATCAGCATGGTTATGTATCTATGTGTTTTAAGAAAAATCTGTCTGTTATCTAATTAGCAAAATAAACCTGTTCCATGTTAAATTATATGTTCCTTTATGATATGCTATCCATCTATTTTCTCGTAGTGTATATCAGCTTCACAAGCTTTTTTTCAGATTCTGTTTCATGTACATGTGAGTATTCAGAAATTGATAAAGTTTACAACAAAAAATGACACTTCATACAAAATGGAATTCATCTTCTATATCTTCTTATTGACACAAAGTGTTAAGTACATAACCTGTGACTATGATCAATATTTAAATACCTGCCTGTTTCAATTTTAGGTGATGTAATGACAGGCGATTATTTTTTTCAATTTCCTTATTCTATAGATAGATACTGGTAGAGGGTACCTCTCGAAGATGTTCTTATTTTTTCTTCGCATTCTTGCATAAAAATATCAACAACTCTCTAATTATTACTTTCATATACAAAACCGTTCGCAATTCGTACACAAATCGTAAACCTAATCTATATAACTCTTCTTTCACATTAATCAACCATTTGTCCTTATTGTTTTTATCATATCCGTGTAGCAGGTATGTACTATGTAGTTTTCTGACCTCTCAATTTCAACCATTTTTTAAATATCATAAATTTCCTTACAACAGCTACAATGGAATGGGAATCGTCCAAGTTCTTAATATACGATACAGTTTGTTTCCACGTAAGTGTTTACAGAAGCTCGTAGGTATAGTGTCTCAATATCGGGGGCTTTAAACGGAAGCCCGACGTCTCCTAACCATACCTTAGTATATTGTTTACAAACTATCTAAAACAGAAAGCTATGTTTCAACATTAAAACTGTACTTCCGACAAACATAAGTAATAGCAAAGAGCCGCCTTTCTACCTTGCTCAGCGTCATTTTGCTGTATGTTTTAAAATGTTCCGTTATATATTGATAAAACGCCTAGATACATGTAGCTGTATTCATCGAAAACCTCTATTATTTTTCCTTTTAAAGTCAATGTGTCGAATGCATTTTCTCTCATTATACCCCCTTTTCAAAAGATACATTTTTTTTTTGTTTAAGACGTAATACTACAAAAAAATACTATCGCCCTTTGAACATTACAACTCGCAGTCAACAATTTTCACAAGTGAAGAAGTTTTTCAACTTATCGTTATATATCACATAATATTTTACATATTGCTACAATGATCGTACAGTGTTTTAGCACGCTCCCGTCAGTTCCTTCTTTTCTGAGTTTATACTTTAAAGTCTTGCGATTTAAAAAAATCAAATGTTTTTTTTATTATCTGTAAAACAACAGTACACTATTTTATTCTTCTTCATTGTACGACTTGTCAACGACTGTAAAACACATATTTCTAAAGCCAAACAGAGCATCAGTAATTTCATTTTATTTATTATCAAGTTCAGCTAATCTGCTATTAAGGAGTGACGCCAAGAGCTTACCAAAGCAACTTAGTAAGGGGATTCCTCTTTAAGTATTTGCATCGTTCACATCGCCAATCAAAAACAAACATGTTCAATATTTTCGCTAGACCAGGCATTATTAAATAAAAATAAATATATAATACTTTCTGAACATTTGACACACAATAAATAAAGACTGAGGTTGGTAATCACATGATCTACCTGTTAAAACCTTTGTCATCTATCTATGTCTGCTAAGACAGCAAACTTAAGATCAGTTGACCACTACAGACGTCGGACTGTTAAGACATCGGATGAACGTGAATGACATAATCCTGGCACACGGGTGCTGCATTTACATATTATTCATTGTACACTCATTTGAACGAAACACCTGACCACACACCGAGAGCGTGTAATGTAACACCTACACGCACCTCACGTACACCACAGGTGAGTCAGTTCAGACCGATACGTCGTGTAGGAATAACAGTTTTTGTGGCGATGATCAAGATTGAACTCCCACACCTAACTTCCCGTGCTATACATAGGTGTATCATAACGTGTCGTATAGCATGTTTCTTACAACAGGGTTATTGATTGATATTTGCTTGCGTCATAATAAAGATAATTAAAACATGACGCCACATCAGATGACGTTTAAAGAAATATAAATACATAAAAAAAACACCCAAACATCTGCATCGATCGATGGTTGACATCGAACTATTTTGTTTTCATAGAGAGTTATCAAAGAGCAGTGTATAAAAACAAAACAAAAACGTATGATTTTGTTATTATTTGTTAACAGCTTTATCTATAGAGTATGAGAGTACCTAACCTTACTAGGGTATATATGGCATGCCTCCAATGAAATAAAATGGTCAAATAAAAGAAGATTCAACAGAACCTTGGAGACAGACACCTGAGGATTATTATAATTGCGAATTTCACAAATTTCGTTGCGTGGATCGATGGTTGACATCAAACTTGTTTGGAATTTGGAGTTAGTGAAAAGCACGCGGACAGCGTCAATATCTGTATCTTTAAACATTGAACTGTTTTTGTATGGTACTTATGATCTATTTGAATGACACAGCTTTGCAAGCAAACAACATAATGCGCGCTAACGGAGTTTTTATTATCAGAGAAAGCTTCAACGTACAAAAACAACGGAGATTTTATTGTCCGGGAAAGCTTCAACGTACAAAAATAACGGAGAATAAAATCTCCGTTGTTTTTGTACGTTGAAGCTTTGCCGGTAATAAAAACTCCATTATTTTTGTACGTCGAAGCTTTCCCGGGTAATAAAAACGCCGTTATTTTTGTACGTTGAAGATTCCTCGGACAATAAATATACCGTATTGTTTTTCTCTATTATGAATACATTCGAAGGTTAACTAGAATAAATAGACCCTCCGGTTGTTATGACCTTGAGGGGTCCGATAAAAGATTTTTTTTCATTAAAATATTGTATTAACATTTTAGGGAGAAAGAGAGAATATATACCATTCATATGTTAGTGATATTAGAATGATTACAAAACCTGTCGATCAAGGCTGTAAAAAAGGAGAAGAGAACCCTGCAGACCTTCACTGTACATAACGTTTGTTAGCATCATGTCATCGAGTTGAATTACTCTTTTGTCGAGATTTGTCCCACTTGAAACACCAAAAAGCCCAGTACCTTAACAAAATAATCAAGATGGGGACAAATTAGTTAAAATATGTGGCTGGAAGTCTGTTATTTTATTGAATGTTTTTTTCTGGCTTGATATGATTAAAATTAAAGTTTTATTTCGGCACAAGTTATCCAACTTATAAAATTTCGTACTTTTATCCGTACTGTTAATAATGTACATGTTTATTCATCTTGCTTTTGTACAAACTTAAAAAAAAAAGACAATTTTAATACATTTTTTTTCTCTCAGTCCTGTGAACATGTTGCAGAACCGTCCAGGGTTTAAAGGGATTTCACGTGCGGGACGTCACTATGTGATCACGATGGCCTGACTTCACGAAATTAAATTAGACACAACCGTACAGAAGCGCCATAGCTTAAGTATTGAAATCTTTTTTCCATGATCGATGTTTATAACTCAATTGCTCGTAATTGTCCGACATAGGAATGTGTAAGCTAAGGGTATCTGATCTACTTGATAAGATACTCAAATATCCCCGCGGTTCAGAGTAATAGCGGGGATTATTTGTCTAGTTTCCTAGTTGGAGCACGAGCGGCGAGTGCTGTCACGTGTCCACGGGACAGGTGAGCGCGGGGTCTATAGTATAGGGTCATTTCTAGTCCCTTACTCGGGATGCGCGGTGCACACCAAACTTTGTAGGGGGATGTTAGCACAGGGTGTATATATATTTGTTTCAAGTCCAATGTATATGTTTTGAAGGTCGCATGTAGTAAATGCGGGGAGTTTGTGGGGTTTTAACATTTTAGGTGTTTTTCATGCTTGTATTTGGGGTATATAAATATTTTGTTTGGAAATAACGTACAGAGTATGACATTGGTTTCCGGGTGTCATACTTGAGAGATATCCTGCAGGGAAATAAAAGTTACAGAAAAGTTTGTGACGTGCAAGTGTTTATGCTATAAATGACCATTGCTTGATATATGTATATGCTATCTTATTGTTTAATGTCTGATTAAACGCCCACCTTAGTACGTCCTCACGGCGAGCTAGCTGCAAATTGAATAAGCGGAGTGGAGCGAGACATGACATTTATTGATTAAAACCATCAAAAAAATTGTTTTACAGCCAAAATATGGACAAGTATTCTAGTAACCACATACAATGTAGCGACCCCCAGACATCGAAATATATTGCCCATACAACATAACCTGACAGTGGTCAGTCGTTGTCAGTTGCTCATGCTAAATACACATTACCCCGGGATCTACGGTCGGGAATTAGTACATATCTACCCGGCTGTCAGTTATCTATCCATCCCTACATGCCTCGGGGCGAATCAGAACGAGGCATCGACTGACATACTGTATATTAGTCTCAACCCTAAAGAAAACGCTGCCTTCTTGTTCACACTTTGGGATTTACAGAGTGACATGTTGAGCCGGACATCATAAATTATGACTCTCGTGGATTTAATGACCACGTGATTTCGGAATGAAACGAGTGAAAAGGATTTGATACTTAGAGTGATTTTATTTTCGAGGTGTGTATATAAGGTGAGTTTTAGAGTCTTTACTCAAATTGATTTGATTTAAACATATTGTATTATTATACATACAGAAAAACCATTAAGCATGAGTTTAACAAAGTTTTAAACGCTTTTTTTCCAAAACAAAATGTACCTAAATATAATAAAGGTGATTAGATAAATATTATGGTTTCCTTACTAACAATTTACCTAGCCATTAATAGGCTTTTAAGCGAATTATTTGTCATACATACTGCAAGTCATAAAACAGAAAGTTCACAAATTAGAGCTAATCTGGCGATGTTAACAAGTTATTGACGTTTTACGTGGTTAATAAACGTTTACCAGATAACGTTACGTAGAATGTATTCATTGGGTTGCTGTTCAGTTCACATGTGGACGTAAGAGGGAGAAGCCATAACAAAATCAAACATCGGTGTATTTGTGTTGTTTATCACATAACTACAGGTGTATTTATAGAGCATACTGGTAGTGTTACGTGGATTTCTTTGCAGTGTCATGGCGTCGTGACTTTGTGCGAGAAAATGATTTCCGGAAGTTTGAACGGGGGGTCATGCAAGGTGAACCCTGGCAGAGATTGATTTGTTAACTTAGACATGACGTCATCGCCCATAGGTGTTATATCACGGTTACATATGTACCTTCCGATAAACCAGGTGATATTCACAGGTAGACATATCAAAGTGTACGTTAAGGGTGATTTATGTGTATCAGGATATAACACTTCAGTTCTGGTTTCCAGTTTATCTTGATTCTAGTTCATGTAAAATCTCTTTTCCTATCATGCATATTATCAGTATACCTGTATATAAGTACAGTTTCGTGAATTGTTTAATATTTTAATGATTGTATTTTTTTTCTTTTCTTGTATAGTTCTTCACAAGGGGTTTATTTCGAGCTTATGTACAAGTATTACTTAACTGGACTGTTCTTAATATAGTTTTTGTCGAACAGAATAAAAGAAAAGAGTCGGACAAACTATTTGTCCAAATTCGTTTTCATATAACGGCTAATATTAAGCACATTAATGTATGTTTTCAGTAGCTTAGGCCAGTGTGTGGTTTGATGTGAAAACATGTCATATCAGAACCTCTAAATATTTATCAGTAAACATGGGAATGAGTACATTATCTCGAAAATGTAAAAATAAAAATAAAAACGATATTTGTTTAAAATCGCACATTACAAACGTTTTAAAAGATTACTTTAAGTAGTTTCTAACCGAACAAATAGTCAAATAAAATGCAAACGCTTTGTGAAACGAAAAGGAATATTATTAGCTAGAAGGGCGATAACTCCTTTATCTCAAAATCTGAGGGATAATAGGTAAAATACATAAGGAAAGGGCATTCGCTAAAAGAAAAAAATCCTTTCATCGAATGAGAAAAGGCCGTCGCTTTGAATATGGGGTCACTTGATATATATATATATGGCTATTCAGTTATTTCTACCACAAGGAACCGCTTTGATGTCTTCCCGAAAAAACCAAGAGGTTTGCAAACCTATTCGTTGGCATATTACTCCTAAACATAAACGTTTTTAAACCTATCTTTATTCATTTGCCGTTTCAAGTAATTCGTCTACAACATGTATATCTAACGGTCATTGTTTCCATGGTTTTAATTGATGACAGGGCAAGCCCCGGGGATGTTAAAACAATACGTACAATTGATTGTATCATAATGATTGTGAACAAACCGTTAAGGTTCTGGTTTTACCTGATTGCTTTGTTTCACTGTCTGTAATTAACGCTCTAGTTTGTTTTGTGAGATTTTGTTAACGTTAGCTGTTTTCCCTGTGTAATATTCTTGTGTTTATAGACCGTATACGTTTAAAATATATATTTAAAAAAAAACCTGTTATCAATGATTATAAATGTCACGGTAATCAAACTAGTTGTTACGTTTGACTTGTAAATACTGGATCTACAAGGATTTTATAAAATATGTAACAATATATATCTTTTGCAGATGTGGTCCAGACGATGTGTGCTTCTCATCTTCTCAACCTTCTTGTCGTTAGGGGTTACTCTGATAGAAGAAATCCGACTTCCGGATGAGTTTTCGGAATGTATTGAACGACATACTGCTAAAAGCAATGCCAGTGCCACAACATCCGAATCCATTGACAACTTCTGCATAAACCGGCATCGGATGAACTTGGCCAGACCATATTTAACGCAAGCGAACGTTTCCAAGGACATGACCAGTTGGATTGACGAACTTCTTCGCATGTCATCAGTGGAAACGTATGAACATGATCAGGCAATGATTAGGAACAAGCGTCAAGCGATTGGGGTTCCAAACTTTCGAGCAGGGGTCCAAACGACATTCCAAAATATTCAGCAACAACCTATTACAGGACAAAATATACCGGTAGGACAGTTCAATCAACAGCAAAGCATCCCACAGGGGTTCCAATCTATATCACAGGGCACTTTTCAGACTATTCCGCAACAGCAAACTCCACGGGGTGATCCGATAGCATTGCAACAACAGCAAATCAATCCTCTTGACCAAACCATCCAGCAACAAAATAATCCTGTCCAATCTGTCCAGCAACAAAACGTTCCCGCGCAAGATTTTCAGCCACAAAACATTCCTGCTCAAAGTTTATCTCAACAGAATGTTCAAACTTCCCAGGCGGGCAAACCTGTCACTCAAGGTTCGGTAGCTCACATTGTCTATCAACAAAACGTTCCAACAGGCTCAAGTTCAACACAGCAGCAACAGGTATCTGTTCAGCAACATCAGATGCAGCAGCAGCAGCCACCGCCGCCGCCGCCGCCGCCGCAGCAGCAGCAGCAACAACAACAACAACAACAACAACAGCAACAACAACAGCAGCAACAACAACAGCAGCAGCAGCAACAGCAGCAGCAACAACAAGCGACGGCAACACAAACCTTCCCGTCCCAGGCACAGCCACTACCGGCCCGGGCTCCCCCCGTTGTTAGACCAACACTGCGCATACGAAAGGAGTATCGCAGACTAACAGAACAGGAGAGGAACGACTTTCATCGGGCTGTACAGATGCTTAAGGCAGACACTGTAAGTGCTTGGATTCTGCTTTATTTAACACATAGTAAAATAAATAATAAGCTCGTAGAGCAATGTTTCCAGCAGGACTCATTTAGCTGTAATGGGGTTGTAATGCCATGTTCAGGACAATTCATGTAGTAATATTTACATTTGAGCTGCAACCCACTATTTGAACATTACCAGCAAAAATACATTTCATTTGAAGAGGAAAGCAAAACCTCTCGTGACGTTATACGTGGTTTATTTGTAAGTCATACATTAACCTTGCTTAATGAGAGTCTTGTCGCGTCGCTTCGGATAGGATGGAGAATGCCCCTGCGCCAAACGCTTAAATGACTACGGTTACTTATTGGCGCCAATTTTATTCAAATAGGACTGTCGTTTAAATGACGACGCATATCCAAACGCATTTTTTTTTTTTAAAGAACAAGTACATAAGCTTAAACAATTGTTCCATAGTAAAAATGAAAACATATGGATTGAACGGCGTTTTTTTTTTAATTTTCTTGCCGGTATTAACGCAAATCGGTTACATCCATATTAAAAATGAAGCCCTAACGTGGTTCATGCAATATAGACGTAACCGATTTGCGTTCATACCGGCATGGAATTAAAAATCGCCGTTGAAACCCTATATATTCAGGGGAACTCGTACATCCATATTCTGGGGAATTTATGACGGTAATTTTCAGGAAAACACTTGAAACTATATTTTGGTCTGACCATACACCCTATATTTTGGTCTGACCATACACCCTATATTTTGGTCTGACTATACACCCTATATTTTGGTCAGACCATACACCCTCTCCTCCCGTTCACATGACAAATAGTTAATGTTGGTCATGTTTTTTGAATCAGTTGAGGTTCTAATTATCACAAAACATCATCACCTGAAAAAACATTCAAATACATATAATGTTGTCAGCTGACTCTTTATTGGCCAAGTACTCCGATTATAGTATTGTCGTTTCGCGCAGTACAAATTAGTTCCAGACATGTTTTTAATGATGAACAGTTTGAAATGCAATGAATATAATAATGATAAAATAAATTTTGATTAAAATAGTAGTAAATATATCATGTGGCTTCGTAAATAAAACGCAGGAGAAGGAGTAGCACACGAATATGTTACAATGGTGTTGAGCAATCGAAGCACCTTTGGGTTTTATGACATGGCCATATGATATAGTAACGTGGGTCAGTAATCTGATAAAACCATGTATACATATATTGGACATCGTGAGGCAAATACATTTATGCAAACAGGTTCTCCTTGGATCCGATTCCTTGCCGGGATTTCGTCCTGTGGTCACATTTTTAAATGATTGCAATCCAACTAAAAACTACCTATATTTTTCCGCCAAACGAAATTAGTCCCTGAGTACGTGGGGAAGGCTGAAATTCTTTAATAACAACAAAACCAACACTTTCTTGACGTAAGAGACAAACAAAAAAGTGCTATTCAGAAAGGGGGTTATGTTGGGAACACAGAAGCAAATGTTTTATAAGAAGAAGGTGTTGTCCCTCTAGATATATGTAAGTTTCTTTTTACTAATCTTAATCTTCCTCGAATATCCTCATGGCCTCTTTGTTAGTATTTTATGACATTTTTTGAATGCTGTGGTGTTGTTGATAGACTTTTGCAAATTTCGTATTGAGCGATTTGTGAAAATTGAGCTGCCTTTTATTTTCTACAGTCAATCAGCCCTAACAGGTACGACGCTCTGGCATTGGTTCATTTCCGGCTCGTTAACAACATTCACCATGGCAGTGGTTTCCTTCCCTGGCATAGGGTCTTCATAACCATGTAAGTATGCCTAATGACGTGCCTGATACGGGTGGTCATCATGTTAGTATACGTACGTCTCCTTGCCTCCGTTCATTGCAAATGTCCTTCATCACTGAGCAACCCTTCCAGTAGAAGTTTTGGTAGCCTTTACACATGGCCAAGTTATGTACCTCGCCAGTGCCTGTATATAAAATTTGATAATTTAAAAACTAAAAAAAATATTGTAATCGCCATTATCATGAATTTTAATCATACAATCGGTTACGACATTTCATTTCGTTTTGTCAGCTGTTACATTTACTGTTGTAGATTCGAGAATGCACTGCGACAAAAGGTAGCGACCGTGTCCTTGCCATACTGGGATTCAACCTTAGACGAGGCTATGATGGATCCAACCCAGTCTATTCTTTTTTCTCCGAGGTTTGCTGGAAACGGAAATGGTCTTGTAACGACTGGACCGTTTGCTTACTGGCAAACTCCATCTGGACCCCTGATTCGAAATATTGGCCAAGGTGGTGGTAGTTTATTCTCGAGACAAGAAATTATGGCTGTTCTCTCAAGATCACGCTTGCGTGAGATAGAGGAACCAGATGCAGATAATATGTTCAACTTGGAGAATTACCATGGTGACGTGCACACATGGCTGGGTGGGGAAATGGAGCCCATGGAGACGTCCGCCTTTGATCCACTGTTCTACATGCATCACTGTTTCGTGGATTATGTTTGGGAAATCTTCCGAACGCGACAGCGGGCCATGGGCATTGACCCAACCAGGGACTATCCCGCGAATTTCGGATCGCAGACTCATTCCCCTTTCTTCAGAATGGGTTTTGGGGATTTACAAAATTCCTTTGGTCTTGGTGATATGTTCACGACACAGATTTACACATATGAGCAAAACCCATCATGCTCCTTAGCAAGCCCTAACTGTGGATCGTTGTACCTAAGCTGTGATCTTTCTCAAGGTATCGCACAGTGTATGCCAGCGGCGACGGAAGTAAGCAATGCCGCTCCAGTGCAGCCACCACAAGCAGGTTTTGGAGACCAAAATCCATTTGGAGCCACTGGGCCGAATCAGTTTGGACCAGCGCCAAATACAGGGATGGGGATTGGAGGAGGCTTTGGACCGCCAATGCCGATGTTTGGTCGCCGGAAGCGACAAGCGGATAGGAAGAATATCGCTCAGGCCAAGAAAGTATTGCGGGAAAATGCGAGGAACATGGCTGTTCAAAAAGGAACCCACACCTGTACCGGTACCTGGCTATCGTTTTCCAGTCAGAATACTTTCGAAGTTGATGGTGTCAGTGATACCCGGAACTGGGTGTTTATTCCGGTAAAAATCATCAGTAAGCGTTCACCGGAACATAGGAAATTTCAAGCTTTCCCTATATTTGACGGAAGAGCATCCCGTGATTATGACATATATGACCCTGAAGCTTACCCAGAAATAAGTCCATACTTTTCAGAGCAAGTCATGCCATTATCGACTATATGCAATTCACGCGCCACCGATAGGACTGTTGGAAGAGTTCATGTTAGGTCCAATGGACTGAATTACCATGGTAACTACGAGGAATACACTGTCGTAGATCTTCGCCAAGCGTTCTCGGAATCGTCGACCTACATCGCCCTGAAGGATCCGGAAGACGACATGTCGGAGGTAATACTGACGGCGTACGACTCGTGTGGGCGTCGTTGTAAACCCTACTGCCGAAGTAGCGACCCAAAACGCCCGGGCTATCACAGCTGTTCCGGAGCCTTGAGGGTCACCAAAGGCACACCCTGGATGTACGGCAAAAATTACGGAGACGCAGTGCGCATGTCATGGAATATACAAAGTCTTACTGATATTCCAGAACTAAAAGCTGATTATTACTTCATCCAGTTTTACTGTGACCACACCGACTGATGCCTGTCCTACAAAATCATTCTCAGACCTGTCAATTCCTGTTGGTATCATAGTTTCAGTGTTAGGCAATGGAAGGAATTCTGAGGATAACAAGATAAGATTGATTAGGTATGATATATAGATATCATATGTTATTTAATTTTCAAATTAACCTACAAATTATCTTATGAACGCTGATTTCTTGTAAAACAATAATTTTTACACATTATGTATATTTCAATTAATAGAAATCATTAGACCTAATTTAACATAGATGCTTGACCTACAAAGATTGAGCGGCGCTCTTGTGAAATATAAGCTGGAGTACTTGTAAACTGTATCAGTCGTTATTTGTTTGTTTTATTGTTATATCATGAATTATATCATTGTTTATTTTCATCTATGTTTCGTTTTTTTTGTCCAAAGATAAAGTGGTGATATAGGAAAATACCTACACCCCTAATGATCTTAGCTAATTATATATATATGATAAAGCTGTTAATTTCAGTTTAAACAATGATAAAAATCACATTAGTAATATAACAAATTATCAGTCATGCAATCAAATCAATGTTTTGTAACTTAAAATTAAATGATTCTAAAAACCAGATATGACTATGATACACCCCGGACACCCGTACCCGTCTATGACAATGGCAGGATTTGTTACCTGTGTTCGTTAGACTTGAGCTTCTTGATTACATACTTTGTTACCTTAACTGGTTAGAGTATCACAATTACAGACTTGAGTAACCTTGACTTGGCTATATCAATGACAGACTTGAGTTACTTATACTCGTAAACAGGTTTGAGTTACTTATTCTCATAAAATACTCTGACACGCTCGAGTTACCTGCACTCGTATATGACAATGGCAGACTTTAGTTACTCGTATATCACAATGACAGACTGGCGTTACTCGTATATCACCATGACAGACTTGAGTTACCCGTACTCGTTTATCACAATGACAGTATTGAGGTACTTATACTCGATTATCACAACCACAACAACAGACGAAACCCGATGGCGTTCTGCCATTACAGTTACGAATCAAATATGCAAGTGAGGCTGGTTTGATACGTGTTTCCTATAAAAGCTAAAACTCTGGTATAATGGTATAATATGTTGATCAACTCGTGTCATTTTTGTCATTAAACATTAAAGCTGTACTCTATGTTTTGCCGTAGGATGAAGCTGAAAAAGAATAGACTTACTATACTAATTGAAGCTCTTTGGAATAAGGAGAGATGAAATGCAAATATTCCTCGAACTTTCCAGTATTAAATGACAAAAGCTTATCAGTACATGAATATTTAAATGTCAAGTTAAATGAACTGGCAAGTCCATGATATGTTGACTTTATTAACCCTGGTATTAAGTTCAGCTTGACATGCATTAATATAAGATCATATGTTTTCATAGTAATACTGTGGCAGTCCACCAATTTCACAATAATATTATCTACCAAAACATAATTCATGTGGTCATCCTGTGTGTGGCTTTCAAGAAACCATCTGATTTCAATATTTTTTCGTCTGTGCTTTGTAATTAAGAAATTCGGACTGTCATATAAACACTTTTGAGATGTTGTTAAGTTTAAATTCTAAAATAAACTTCTTTATAAGGTGACACACTGAGTTGAAGACAAACCTCATAATAGGAATTGATTTTCGACAATGATGTCGATTCAATGTTCTCTAGAATTCCATCAGCATCATTACGAAAAAGACCAATAAACAGCAGTGCCCTTATGTAAATGGATATATTATTGTATGTTTTTCATAATCTTCATCAACAATCAATAAAATAACCCATTGTTAAATACTTTTAATCTGAACTTCATCACTTTTCATGCATTTTTTATCGTTGTCGATGGCAGTAAAAGTGTTAACATTTGTTTTACAGTTAATGAATAATGCCTCCCGATATCTGCGAGCTTTTGGAGTGTACGTCTCGAAGCTTGCTATTGTTAACAAAACTGTTTTTATCCGTGATGACAAAGCCAATATTATGATGCTGTACGAAAGACCAGTTAATTGAGTTTAAGTATTATCTTAATCTTAGTAATAAAAGTTTTAGTTAAATAACATAACATAAATGAATGAATAAATAAATAAATTGATAAAACAAAGAAAGAAAGCCATAATACGAAATATAACTCGATGTAACTATGGTGTAAGATCCACACCGAACAGATATGTAGAACGTAAATAGTGAATGATAAAGTGAATGTTTTGGTAACAGTTAATCAACCTACCGACAACCCCGCTCAATGTACTTCCGGTATTGGTATTACGACAACAACATATGTGCGGATACAGATGTAACACTCGTCATAGAATGGCTTGTAACCATTTTTATTAAGTTTTAGGTATCGTATTTTATATTTAATTGAAAGGTAAGACCTTAATAAATATATATTTCTATTTCTATGGAAAGTGGAATATAATGTCATCTGGTCCGAATGTGAAGCTAACCTTATAGCTGTTCTCAAGGTCAGTTATAGAAACAACATGAGGTCAAACTTATAATGCAATACCTATGAGTGCGACTACGTCGTATAATTGCAGAGCTACATTGTAAACACGTGCGCGAAAGTTTGCCTGTACTCGGGTTAGACAGAAAAGAGAACCCAAACCAGAAAGATCCAAGTTAACTAATACAAGAACCTACGGTTACATACACTAGCTATTTTCAAATCATTACAATAGTGTTCGATTTTTTAATTGCGTATCAATGACATAACCATTTGGACTATTTCTATTTATCTTTTGAAATGTAACAATACTGTAAGATCTATGAGCATCATTGTAAATTTATTTCAGCCACACAACAAACTCCCAGGAGAACACAATATAAGAAACCATTACACGGCTACATCAGTAGAACAGTTTTCGTATCTGTAAGGACAGAACTGATTTGCATATAGAAAAACAAAAACATTCTGTGCATTATTTTGAGTTCGGAGGTATTTGACATAACATGACCTCATTAAATATAAATTGATCTACATCTGTATATTTGATTGTTTAACATGTAATATACTACCTGTGTATTGCTCTCAACAACGTTGGGCTCTCAACAACGTTGGCTCTCAACAACGTTGGCGCCCAACGTTGGAGTTCGCGCTGGAACCGTTATGATCTCTGCCTATCACAGGAAAATCTATAATGGCTATCTTGCAAAAAACGTTGTGTTTATCTCCAGGTTAAGAGAGCGTTACATGATTATATATTCCAGCTTTTAATACAATCTGGCCAAAATTATAAAAGTTATAGGCCGGGTAAATCTTGGTCAATCAGAAGCCGCAGCGTCCTTGGATGACGTCTGATCTGAAGGGACATATGCCATTTAATACTCATGTAAAATTGTATTAATATCCATAAAATAAAAGTCGGCGAAACGGAACGAAGTGAATCTTGAGAACAGAATGCAATGAAAACGCGAATGAAAAGGAATGAAACGGAATGTAAACGCATAATCTGTCAACTGCTGTCACCACTGTATCAGCCAGTAAGATATAACGGCGGTAATGTTTAATAAACAGTAAAATAAGAATAGCTGTATCCCCATTAATACAATGTGTACTTATGTTCATTTTCATTATGTTTTGACAAGTTGCAATTGCCTCATCCAATCATAGGCCTGTCCAAGGCGACATCTTGCGAAAATGTCGGTTTTGTAATTTTGTCCTCCCGTAAGCACTCTTTCACTTTAACTAAAATCAACAAAATAGAGCGAGATAATTGCTCGATATGCTCAGCCAATCAGAAGGTGCGTCTGAGAAACGGCCTATTGCATATCTTAACCTGCTCATCTTACTTATGTTCGGTTGAGCAGCAAATATCTGAGACTTAATTCAGGCAAGTTCACGGCGGAATAAATAATTATGATAATGATAACAACAACGAAAACGAAACAGATAATAAAACAGCATTTTTAATGATAAACGGATCAAACCATAATATTCTTCAAATAATTTGTTTTTGGAACAGAATACAACATCGATTTGTTTGACATAATACAAGTTTACAGTTATAAAGTAAGTAACAAGTGTGCATAGTTATGGAACTATATTGAACATTTAAGATTCAAGAAGCTTTATTTAACGTCGCATGTACATGTTACATATTAACATTAGCACTATAGTGCTATTCTTGTTAATATTTCACATGCCACACACAAATCTGCTACGTACACAATAAACATGCACAAACATGCATGTACATCATACAGACACGCTCTGTTTTTAGGATATGCTTGCGCTAATATAGTGCTGGACTGCCTGCTTCTTAGAAGTTATGCCGACCTAAGACTTGTTTGTGGAAGAAATGCCTGTTTACTGACGTCGGTTTTCATTGCGATTCTGGAATAAATAAAAAAAAACCATTAAATTAGCACTGTAACCATGGTGCCACATACATTACAGTTGGTTTCGCTTTTGTCAAATTTATAACATTAGAAAAACATTGTCGTTCGTCTTCGTAAAAGATAACTAATTTATTATACATTTGTATTTTGGTTTTGGATTAATTGAAGTCAATGCAATTAAATCGGCTATGCTACTGTTATATTGTTTTTATCTTTCAATACATATTAAGACAGAATCTGAGAAACAAAACTACAACGACAATGACCCGTCAATAACAATACGAGAAAGAAAGGATAAATAGTTACATAGATACATAGATAATGATATAGCAAAGCATGGTGATTGACTAGCAATTTTATTAAAAAATGAAACATTCATCACCTATCACCTATAAACAGGCACAAAATAACTTATAAAAAACTAAAAAACAATCAAAGTGCCGAATATGATTGAATCAATAAGAGACTGTAGGTGTCCATACCTTTCCGGTTTACTACGAGTTGGCAGAGTTTCCGGAAGGCGTTCGTTCGTCGTCTCGGGTAAAAGGAGAGTAAGAAAGGAAGCAGCCAACGCCAGCCCTCCAAATAACAGCAGAGGAAGAGCTTTCCCTAAGACCGGGACATTGGAGGTCTGCACCGCATAAATACAAACGATGGACATTATTATATATCTATCAAAACATCTTACAATATTTATCGGTAATAATACTTTTGGTAATATATAGTCAGGTGACCAGAAGAGCACTATGGATGTATCTGATGGTTTGCAATCAAATCACAGGATCTATGCGGATTGCATCCATTTATTAACACAATATCTATTTCTACTTGATAAGATTATTGATGCGAAGAAAGTTCAACTATCTAAATGAGATTCTCCCGCGGACGCCGGACTCCTGTCATATCATGTTCTTGGATTAAGAATCTTTCGCATAAAATCTAAAAATTAAATAGAAAACAGTGACCATATTGTATTAGATATATTATTAGTTATATAGTCAGTTACTGACCCTCTATGGTTCTGTAGAGGGTCAGTAACTGACTATATAACGAATTTATCGCATCGAGGACCCTTTTGCGTTTGGGCAGACTGACTGTTTAGTCGCTTCTTGTCTATTTCTTCCGTTGTCGTCTGCCCAAATCTCTCCATGTTGTTGTTGTGCTGTTGTCTCTCAATGTCACCGAAACGCTTAGATAAGGGGACGGCACCCACGCTAAAACAAAAGACGGTCGCTTGCGACAGCGTCTTACTAATTTTGCCTGGCGTAGGGGAAGCAACTCCTATCATTTTACGATACAATGTAGCGAATGGGAATTACGGTGAGCATTGTATCATTTTCAGAATATTCAGGTACCCGGTATCTGTTGTTTTAGTTTTGAAGCGGTGAGCAGTGGGCGGCCATATTGCCCTATAATGGAATCCTACTGACCCTATATAGAAAATTAGAGGGTCACCACGTGACAGCTCTAAACCAATGGATTTTGGACATTTTTGTCCGANTTTTAATTCACGATAAAGGTTGAAACACTCTCTAGGATATTCTTGTTCATTTACATTCATCTTACAACCATTTAGTTAAGTATGTGGAGTATAGTGCGAGTGATAATCATTGACTAGAGAAGCCGAGAGTAAGTGTCTGTGATTGTTGTATCTGGCACTGTCAAGGAAGTATTGACGACTTGTTTCCTGTATATATCCAGATGGTCATTAAAGATATCTATATATCCAGATGGTCATTAAAGATATCAAAATTTAAGTTGCAAGCATTATTTCTAATTTGACATAGTATAGTATTGATTTTTCTTTCACTAGTGTTTTTTTTTACCACTGTATGAGTATCATTAGCTGGTATATCATTAGTTAGGTTAATTAGTTTCTTAAATTGGGAGAGAGATTGAGCATTTAAAATATCTGGGTCTAATTGATTGTAAAGTCGAAAAGTTAAGGGAAAGAAACTATCAAAATAGCCCTCAGTTCTACTTAGGGTTGCCTAATGTTATTCGAAGCGGGAAGAGGATCTTCAAATTGACGCTGATCAAATTGCGTTCATTTCATTTCAACATATTTTATTCATGATGGTATATGAATGGGATCGAACAACAGGCTATGCCTATTTCACTTTTCTCCTGCATGCACTTGTATGAATCAGCATGTATATATGTATATATATATTATAATTTATAGTGAAATGAAAAATTGAAAAAAGACACAACTTAGATACAAAACAGATATCAATGTACAAGTCATACGGTATAGGGGAGATAATTCAAACTGCTTATGGAAATTACAAGTCAAACTGTTCTACATCCTGACCTCACCGGGGTAATGAGTGAATATTTGCCATCTTCCTTCACTAGATCCTCCCTGGGAGTAAAAAATCCACACAGAGTGACTTGCAGATAGTTAAATATTACGCTTATATGCATTGAATATTATAAGTAAGCTATGCCAACATTGTATGGTATATTAACATTCACATTATAATATATTAAGAATAAAATTATTTAACTACTTGTTATTAATTACTTAGTACAAAATACAAAATACAAGTCCATGTTGATTTATGTTGTGTTTATGGTAAATGTTTAATAGTATTGATACATATAACAGCCAGTAGCAGACGACTACGCATGTTTGATGTTCATGTTTATAATGTTGGTATATTATATTATAAGTTGATAATAGGTAATTCTAATTATATATATATTTTTAATTCACGATAAAGGTTGAAACACTCTCTAGGATATTCTTGTTCATTTACATTCATCTTACAACCATTTAGTTAAGTATGTGGAGTATAGTGCGAGTGATAATCATTGACTAGAGAAGCCGAGAGTAAGTGTCTGTGATTGTTGTATCTGGCACTGTCAAGGAAGTATTGACGACTTGTTTCCTGTATATATCCAGATGGTCATTAAAGATATCTATATATCCAGATGGTCATTAAAGATATCAAAATTTAAGTTGCAAGCATTATTTCTAATTTGACATAGTATAGTATTGATTTTTCTTTCACTAGTGTTTTTTTTTACCACTGTATGAGTATCATTAGCTGGTATATCATTAGTTAGGTTAATTAGTTTCTTAAATTGGGAGAGAGATTGAGCATTTAAAATATCTGGGTCTAATTGATTGTAAAGTCGAAAAGTTAAGGGAAAGAAACTATTAAAATAACCCTCAGTTCTACATAACGGGGTGTTAAAAGCACTATTTAGTCTTAGCTGATATATCACATTTGTTAAATCATTAAAAAAAGGTCAACTATATCTTTAATGTACTTTGGTGTATTATGCAATATTTTAAACATTAAAATTAGTTTACTTTTATTATTATTATTATCATTACTATAATTATATACAGAATTCTATATAGCGCCCTATCTAGCTGACATAAGTCACTTTAAAGCGTTTTACAGTACATAGATATACAATTAAAACAATTAGCATATACATAAATCAATACAAATTTTAAAGACTTCGCAGGAGCTGCCTTATCAGGCGCTAACTACTAGTCCTATGGCTAATATCTGGCTAATATCTCCCTATGTTTGTATGCCTGCGTGTGTGCTGGAGATGTAATGTGTTCTGTTTGTAGTGGGACCTTGTGTCTAACGGTAACATTTATAGTGCCACCTTACTTGAATGCTACAGCACAGATACTGCAACATCAACCCAATACCATTGTATACTCCACCTGGGTTGTTTGAGTTGTGTATGCAGGAGAAAACCCTTTATTTGCATATCCATGCGTACGACGACTTCAGGGATCAAACCCCGGCCGCCTGCGTGGAAGTCCGGAGTGCTAACAACTCGACCAATTCGCCTATAATGCTATCAGCTAAGGCTTCCCATCCCAATTCTTTGTTTAAGGTTAGTACTGTCGGTTAGTGGTGTGTTCTTTGAACGCAATGTCTGTTGGTAAAGCTGATAGAGCACCGTGCGGCGGAAATGTAAATATAGGAAAGTATAAGGAAGGACAAAGATTTTGCTCCGTTATGACATTCAAAACTAATGTTTGTTTTTGCTTTGTTGTATGAAAACAGTATATATGACGTTGTTTTAGTACGGAGAATACACAACACTGATACAATAAACACATATTTAAATTGATACTTACGAATGGAAATAAAGATTTCAAGTATGCCAGTCAGCAGCATGAATGTACCTCCCATCATCATTCCCAGGATGTATAGCTTCATACGGCCTATTGTGTCTAACAGCGGCAATAAAAGGAGAGTGGCAGGTATTTCAACCAAACCGGAGATCAGCTGGTTCAGGAAAAAATCGCCACTTAGATTGCCCGCATTGAAGTAAAACCCGAAGTAGGTTAGGGATACCACAAACCTGTGTGATAGGGAAATAATAAAATGTATGTAACAAAAGATAAATGATAGATATGTTGTACAAACTACAAGACAGAAAAGTATTGCATGCATCCAATACTTACACAGACGAAAAATGTAGACCTGAACACATTGTACTCTATGAAAAAAGAATTTTGTTTGTAATATTATCACCCTATTGGTAGAATTGTCATTTTTTCCGAATCATATCATAATATACGTGCCAATTGATAATATACGCTCTAAGAAATGCTCTTTACATAAGATGTAACATGTTATAATTTGCATACGTTGAGTTTTCGCGAGCTCCCTTTACTAAGTCAGATATTGAGATTATTCGTTTTTTTCTGGTTACAAATCCTTTCACACAATTATATGATAAACAATTGCAATTACAACAAAGATCGTAATGATGACCAAACAATCTTTAACCTTTTCAAATATCAGCCGCGATGCACATTTTTACAGGTTCGAAACAATCTTGAGGAAACTAGATGAGTTTGATATTTACCAATTGACCCATATTATCAAGGATCTGATTACCATGGACCGTGATGATAAAAGGTGCCAGATTCTGTATTGTTTAACGGGTTCATCCTCGTCATCGGTCAGTTGTTTGAGGGTCAAACTGTGGTCGCGGTGGTTTGATTTGGCGATCGTTAAGATTATAGCTCTTGCTTCTTCCTGTTTTCCCTGACTAATAAGCCAGCGCGGAGATTCGGGAATCACCCTACACAGCAAATTAGAACTTCATGGAGATTCTGTGTATATATCAATGTACACCGGGGAACATTATGCATACTGTTTCTGCTTAAGACTTTTACTACAGTTATATGTTTTTCACATTTTTTATAGAAGACACCTGGAATTGAGCATTCTTGTACAGACGTTTGAACGCAAAGTGAAGTTGATTTAAACCCGATATTATATTTTTTGTTTGTATCAAGTCATACTATGACGTACGTTGTTATGTGAACTTAGACTATAGATTGACATTGGACATCAATAAGCGTAACGAAGTTTCTAGTTTTTACACATGACGAGTTTGACGCCTTTTTTTGTGTATGGATGTGTTAATCTGTTGACTTACTCGCAACAAAGCAAAGACATTTTTAGAATAATTTGTATTTTTGAGATAGAAAGCAACGAAAAAAACAAAAACAATCGTAGTAAAGGAATTTACGTTAACATATTTTAGTACATATAATTGGGGCTTCGTTATTGATTTTCTCTGCTGCCATTTGTATACGTTTTCACCTCTTAATAAGCTTTTAAATATGAAAAGAACATTCATACCACCAATATACAAGAAATATTGCCGATGGCGCAGAACAAGCTATTTGAATATATTTCCAATGACGGAGCCCGTAACCAATCCCTGCTAATAGGATCATTCCGGCAGTGTAGAAGTAATTAATCAAAATACCGGCCCAGAGACGCTTTGAGGGTCCAACAATTTCCAGACCTGTAAAAGATAGAATGATGCGTAATTCTGTACTCCATATACGATATTATTAACCAGTAAGCTACGAAAGGGTATGGATCAACAATCCACTTCTTTATATTTATCCCTTTGTTAATACACATTATGTCCCCCTATTGTTTTGATGACAACCTGAGTCTTGTTAAATCATTCCTTAACTCTAATTGGTTAACTTATTTGAGCTCGAGTGACTCCTGATTGTACGATGAGAAGATGTATGCAAAATAAAAACGGGACGAAGTCCAAGCTAAATTATACTGAAGATGAAATTGTGAGTACGATTTAATTCTTGTCGTCATTGTCTTTGTTGAGTCCGTTGGCATGTTTTCCAACACTGGTTTTCCTACTATGCTAGAACTTTATTTTCGTTTTGATTATGTTTGTCAGTGTGTCTTCAGATTTTGTTATCAATTTCCCATTCTTCTTTTTATGAATATTACATTGCTTGTCCTGACCCCTGTTTATATAGCGTGAGTGCGAAATTAAGCAGAAAACATTTACCCTTCCGGAACTCCTTGCCGTAGGTTCAATGTATAACTGCTCTCCGAGTAAATATTTCCATTGTTTATTTTTTATCATAGTTGTACTACATATTATTAACAATTCAGAGAATCATGCTAAAAACATTATAAACATACGGATCAATGCCATCTTTAGAAAATGTCATTGCATTGCGTAAAAAATAATATATTTTTGAGATCATACTACATACCTAATACGAATGCTGTAATATAAACGAATGTGGAGCAGATGGTTTGCAGGAACCTTAGGATTGTGAAGATGTATATGTTAGTTGTAAATGCAGAACCAACCCCAACCAGCATCATCAAGGTGGTGCTTCCACAAAAAGTTATTTTCCTTCCGAATCTGTAATGAAAGAACGTTTAACACTTTTCAGTGTATTTTTTTAATGCCTGAGACTAACATCCATACCTTCTTATCCGTGAACGCCGTGAACTAATAATACAAACTATCTCGCGTGCACCGGGACGATTTACTTTGATGGAATCATCACGAACGTTTCACGTTTAATATATTTCTTGTGGTACTCCATTGGTTTTAAAAAAGCTGAAAATTAAAAATTAAAAAACAATAAGCGCAATCCAAATAGAGTTGGGTGATATACCTACATAATACTGTCAAATCTGAGGTAATTGACAAAGCCATTTTCAATTAAGTTTAATTTATGTTAATATCTGCTCCACTCTAAAACATTTTACAGCTGATAGAACTTTTAATTTTACCTGTCAGAAATTAATCCTTGTAATAGCGACCCGACGATTGATCCACAGTGCATAGCGACCTGCATATAGGTCGAGGTAGATGTAAAGGCACACACTAGATTATTCTGGTAACAAAATAGGACTTTCAATTATACTAACATATTTATATATTTATGTGCATTGCAATGACAGTGACAATTCTGTCTGAAGAAATTATATGTTTGTAAAAATATATAACACTTAGCATATAACTTTTTTTTCAAATTGAAGGATCTAATTCAACACCATTTATGCTGATATAATGAAAATGAACGCGCTAGAATGAGTTTACATTGCTATATAACACAATCACACAAAACATACCTCCGACACAAGCGTAGACGTGAAGACAGACTTGTCATATGTCCAGGAAGAACAAAGGTGTGAAGTGACATTCCTGTCCTCTCCTTTTGACCTATTGTCGGACACTTTAATATGACATTCTCCATATTGGTATTCCGCAGACATATTAGGGAGAGATCGAATTGTATCATCGCCATTAACCGCGAAAAATGCTGAGCTATTATGGGCACTGACTGCAGCACATCTTAAATCAAAGAGAGCGAACTATATGAAGCATATCGCTAATAAAACAATTATTAAGAATGGACCAAAGATTTCACACACACACACACACACACACACACACACACACACACACACACACACATATATATATATAAATACCGATTCAAAGTTGTTTAATTTAAAAATTTAGGGTTTTGAAATAAAACATAAGCGCTGATATTAACGTCACCATATAATGACGCTACATATTTAGTACTTAGGTCATCAATGTATATTCTATGAAACCAGTTCTTACATATTACACATTATTTGTATATACAAAAGAACAAGGTCTCACCTGTGTATGGGAGTGTACATTAGATAGGCACCTATAACATCATACATAGCAATACACAGGACAGGTAGGCAAAGTAAAAAGTATATTCTTTTTTGGTAAGGTCCAAACTCTCCAACAACTTTCAAGATGGCGTCAAACTGCATACTGTTAACTTTTGCCGTGTGTTCTGAAAAAACCCAAAATGATTAATACACGATAGACAGAGGTCTTTTGTCGTAGATAAGAAAGGTAAGTGAATTTATGAATTTTGAATTAAGATCACGAGTTTAATAATACAACATTTGACAATGGCCTTTTGGAACAACCTTCCTCTCCTACAATATATTTCTTGGCATGGTAAAAGTCCGGCTACTGGAAAGTCTTGACGTGACTGCTGACATTGACACATGTCGCATGTTGTTCCTAATGATGGTTGCCAAAGCCAGGGCAACAAGCTGAAATTAGGCCATCTATTGTATCTATTGTATCTATTGTATCTATTGTATCTATTGTATCTATTGTATCTATTGTATCTATTGTATCTATTGTATCTATTGTATCTATTGTATCTATTGTATCTATTGTATCTATTGTATCTATTGTATCTATTGTATCTATTGTATCTATTGTATCTATTGTATCTATTGTATCTATTGTATCTATTGTATCTATTGTATCTATTGTATCTATTGTATCTATTGTATCTATTGTATCTATTGTATCTATTGTATCTATTGTATCTATTGTATCTATTGTATCTATTGTATCTATTGTATCTATTGTATCTATTGTATCTATTGTATCTATTGTATCTATTGTATCTATTGTATCTATTGTATCTATTGTATCTATTGTATCTATTGTATCTATTGTATCTATTGTATCTATTGTATCTATTGTATCTATTGTATCTATTGTATCTATTGTATCTATTGTATCTATTGTATCTATTGTATCTATTGTATCTATTGTATCTATTGTATCTATTGTATCTATTGTATCTATTGTATCTATTGTATCTATTGTATCTATTGTATCTATTGTATCTATTGTATCTATTGTATCTATTGTATCTATTGTATCTATTGTATCTATTGTATCTATTGTATCTATTGTATCTATTGTATCTATTGTATCTATTGTATCTATTGTATCTATTGTATCTATTGTATCTATTGTATCTATTGTATCTATTGTATCTATTGTATCTATTGTATCTATTGTATCTATTGTATCTATTGTATCTATTGTATCTATTGTATCTATTGTATCTATTGTATCTATTGTATCTATTGTATCTATTGTATCTATTGTATCTATTGTATCTATTGTATCTATTGTATCTATTGTATCTATTGTATCTATTGTATCTATTGTATCTATTGTATCTATTGTATCTATTGTATCTATTGTATCTATTGTATCTATTGTATCTATTGTATCTATTGTATCTATTGTATCTATTGTATCTATTGTATCTATTGTATCTATTGTATCTATTGTATCTATTGTATCTATTGTATCTATTGTATCTATTGTATCTATTGTATCTATTGTATCTATTGTATCTATTGTATCTATTGTATCTATTGTATCTATTGTATCTATTGTATCTATTGTATCTATTGTATCTATTGTATCTATTGTATCTATTGTATCTATTGTATCTATTGTATCTATTGTATCTATTGTATCTATTGTATCTATTGTATCTATTGTATCTATTGTATCTATTGTATCTATTGTATCTATTGTATCTATTGTATCTATTGTATCTATTGTATCTATTGTATCTATTGTATCTATTGTATCTATTGTATCTATTGTATCTATTGTATCTATTGTATCTATTGTATCTATTGTATCTATTGTATCTATTGTATCTATTGTATCTATTGTATCTATTGTATCTATTGTATCTATTGTATCTATTGTATCTATTGTATCTATTGTATCTATTGTATCTATTGTATCTATTGTATCTATTGTATCTATTGTATCTATTGTATCTATTGTATCTATTGTATCTATTGTATCTATTGTATCTATTGTATCTATTGTATCTATTGTATCTATTGTATCTATTGTATCTATTGTATCTATTGTATCTATTGTATCTATTGTATCTATTGTATCTATTGTATCTATTGTATCTATTGTATCTATTGTATCTATTGTATCTATTGTATCTATTGTATCTATTGTATCTATTGTATCTATTGTATCTATTGTATCTATTGTATCTATTGTATCTATTGTATCTATTGTATCTATTGTATCTATTGTATCTATTGTATCTATTGTATCTATTGTATCTATTGTATCTATTGTATCTATTGTATCTATTGTATCTATTGTATCTATTGTATCTATTGTTATCTATTGTATCTGTATTAATGAGAGATGATCTGCTACTGCTCTTTTTAAATACCAATTAGATGTAAAAAGAAAACCAATCCGTTAAGAAAATCTTTATGAAAACAATTGTATTAATAAAGATAATTTGAGAAATAAATTGACAAAGTTTGTAGGAAATTTAATTCACGATAAACAGTCGATAACGTTATTTTGTTGTCAGCTTAGTCGTTTGGTGTTGGACGGGCTTGCTTAATTTTGATTTCAAACTGCTGGTAATCGGTACACTTTTCATTGGCGTATTTGTTAACAAAGTTGTTGGTTATCTTAACTTTTTTTTATATTTTCTCAAAATGTGTAATGGGACGTGGACTATGTTATAAAAAAACGACAAAACGTTTTTTCGAGAAGATTATATATACGTTTTTGGCAGATCAATAAGCAGCCATTTTATCAACATTAAAAGATTTGATTTCCAAGGATAAATGTATCGCACGCGCGGACGATTGTTTCATTCTTGCAAAGGATGAAAGATTATAAAGAAAAAGAAAATTAGAAATTATTATCAAGGTTATTATCTCAAATATTTTAAGCACATTTTTTTATTTTCTGGAAAATATTTTGAAAACTTGATAACTTGATAAAACATTATAATAGAGTGTAAGGTTTGTAAATGCATTCGCACAGCAATGTATACGAGATTTAGTAAAAAATGCAAATTATTTATTTTCATAACAGACAATGAAAGCAAATTCAGTTCAGTTTCAGAAAAAGTGAATAAGGGAAGTGCTGTAATGTTTCTTTATCAGATAAAACAACAAAGGTAGGGCCAATTTCAGTGTACCGGTGTTTAATTGGGTTAGTGGTTAGGTAACTCGCCGTTCACCGAAATAAACCCTTCCGGGCCCACAAGAGAACTTCACATAAGTTGATAACTGGAAATTTGATGATTGTAAATAAAATAAAATGTAAGATATATATTCAGTAAATACAGTTGGGAGGAGCAATTACACATCTCTTTCAGATTAAGTAATCAAGGGAGGAAAATGTAAGGACTTGTGGCGTTATTGGTCATTTTTGGACTCATAAAAAGAAAACTTTCAACTTGAACTCATTGATTAATTTCTGTTTAAAATATCATTTTGGTTAATTAGGGCTATTTCTCCTGGTGCAGATTTTTCAAACGCGCATGCGTAGATGCCCTTCCATAGCAACAAATCGCGTTGTTATGCAGAAATACCCAAACTATGATGTTTTTGGACAGTAAGCATACAGAAATGAAAGCCTCCGCATGTGACAAACAAACATTCCTTTCTACGAATGAACACTGGTATGACAATGTTTAAGCATGTCAAATATCTATTTGTCTGTTGCATGAAGAGGCTTTCAAAAATTGAAAAGTGTTTTGTCAATATACTGCAAAATGGCCAATTTTCAATCAAATAGCCAAACAGACGTTATTCACGCATTTTATTATGAAAATGCGGGTTTATATCTCTGTTTATAATGCCCTATCTCCTAAACCAGTTGTCGAATAAACTGGAAATTTCATATTTATGTATTTCCTTTATTCCAGACCACGAATATTACAATTAATTTGTAATCCCCGGTGAGGCCGGAAATGACCCTCAACGCCTAATCACTGCACTAGATAAAGAAATAAATGAGAGGGTCATTGCATTTCTTAATCATGTAAATAAATGAGAGGGTCATTGCATTTCTTAATCATGTAAATAAATACAGAAATCAATGTGAGGGTCATTGCATTTCTTAATCATGTAAATAAATGAGAGGGTCATTGCATTTCTTAATCATGTAAATAAATACAGAAATCAATGTGAGGGTCATTGCATTTCTTAATCATGTAAATAAATGAGAGGGTCATTGCATTTCTTAATCATGTAAATAAATACAGAAATGCAATGACAACGTGTTAAAAGGAAATCAATTAATATTAGATTTAACAAAATGAACTATTTCCCCCAATCAAGCAAGATGCACGTTATTTGAATATTTTGTTGACTCTCGCCTGTTAAGACGACAAGGAGGCGGAAATATTTGCACTTAGAATGACAGTTGTTTTATCACTTATCTTATGAACGTTTGATACTCAGCTTTTGTTAATTATTAAGATGAATTTATCTTTTCATTATAATGCATGTAGATATACACAATAAGATAACAGTTACACTTATAATTATCATTGAAGAATGGCTTCACCAATAACGGATTGATCATGAGGTGGTCAATACGATGGACTCTTTCAAGTGCATTATCATGACTTACTGAACTTGACACCCCCTGATGGCTTACTTTCGCTATTAAAGGTCAGGATCAGGACATTATCATGTTGACAAGGTTTTATATCTTATGAACATGCCAGTCCTTAACACAAAAAATATGTTCTTTCACGTCCCTCTGCTAGGCTGTGTATTTCCCGTACTTATCAATATTATTTAATACTTTGATACATTTTGTCCATATTGTGTACTTCACAGAGCTACACGTATATATAAAAAGGGTAGAGCTTATTGATTCAAAATTTATTTCAGTCTTATTTATATTATTTACTTATCAAGTACTTTATTTACAGCTACTTAACATATCGTTTTAAAATCACAAATATAGGTTTGTTATAAAATAAAGGATGCATTTACAGTGTTTAAATCTGTCATTGACTAACTGACAGTTCTTGGTCATTTTTGTTTACATGTATTATGTATATATATCACGAATAATACTCACCACACTTTTAAGTCCGTCCTTTCCCCCTTTTTTGTAAAAACCTAACGTATCAATGCTCTCTCTCCCGATCGGCTTTACTTGTATGATAACTGAACACTGTCCACTGATAAGGTTCAGTGATATAGGTATCAGTGTGGACAGTAAGTTGCCTTATCGTGTTTATATGTGTGTTAAGATCAACAGATTTCTTGGTTTAAGTTTAAAAAGGATTAAACAAATGGACATCATATGTGTATGTATTGGCGACATAACCGAAACAAATGGTCCGAACGGAGACACCTAAGAATGGTCCTCCTTACCTACAAACAGGTACAGAGGACGCGCCGGAGCACTTCACTGAATGGTGACAGACTATTCATAAAAGACAGGAATGTAACTCGCAGCAAGCGCAACAACCACAGCAACCACAGAAACCACATCAGCACAGCAACCGCAGCAACTAAAGCAACCACATCCGCCTGAGCCTCATTAGAACTATAGACATCGACTGTTGCCGTATTCCCAGCTACCTTATCAGTAACCATGGCTACCCGTTCACAGTCAGCATCATCAGCAGCTTCAGTATTCAAACGGCCACCCTTCACAACCGCCAGCATTAACTTTGAATTAATTAACATTAATATATCGGCTTAATAAAACAATCGACATTAAAAACGTGATGACTTTCGCCTGATGGATACATTCCGTACTAAATTCAAAATAAATGGAGAGGCTTTCTGAGAGGAAATTAAAGAGGTTGTAAAACAACCTTGCTAATAATAAAGGATATTTGTATTGACGGAACGGGTGTTAACTATTTCATTTATGCCATAACGATGTCAGTTTTATAATATTATACCCAGTACCGGCATAATACAATACAACAAAAACAATACAACCAAAATTCAAAAACAAATGTGACCCAAATAGCCTTGACATCTATAAGGCGATAACTCTAGTGGCTTGCCCATGCTGAGTTTTTGCATGAAGATCTGACGGTTTCACTTATTTCTACATTAGTAAAATAACGATATATTTATTGAAAAAAAAAGATATCATCAACACTCATCAGGCTTATAACAAAACATTTGGACTAAACAATACATACACACTTTTATGAATATATCACAAAACCATAGACTGCTAAGGATTTGATAACAGTTTTACAGAATGGTATTTGTGGAAAGCAAAACACACCACGCTTTATTTAAAAGCGAAGTTCGATAATACACCAAACCATCTACAATATCAAAATTGTACTTAAATCAAATTTAACACGATATAAATAGATAAACATTTGTCTACAAGAGACGGAGCGAGAATAAAAGAGGGAAAGTAAGACAGAAATAGAGTTCAGGAAGAATGCTGTAATGCTTCCTCTATTATGAAATGTTATATAAACGTCTCTATAAAAGAACTGATATGGAAAATAATATCACATTTATAAAAAGTAAATTCCTTTATATCGATTGAATAAAAGGAGAAATAATGCACTACGGAAAATGTAGTGTGTCACATGAGAGAACACCTAACCACCAGTCCCCTTCCGACGAAAACACCACGTAACAGGGTTATTATCTACTGTATCTCGCTAACATAAATTAATGTTCGAAAAACAAAAAAGATGAAAAATAAAATACCCCCCCCCCCATATTTCGAATTTGAAATATAATTACTACATGATATGAACAAACAGAGATGTACATGAGACTCATTGAAAAATTATAATGTAAATTAGACCAGGTGTTCCAAAAGAGAAAGCGTTTTCTGCTTCATCGACAACACCCGCCATGTTAATCTAGGTCCAGTGATGGACAGGTTAGTGAAACAAAGAAACAACATGAGCATAAGCAAAACATTCATCTTCTTATCAAAAAGGAAATACAACCTTTCTATATAAGATCATGTTGACGGCTATAAAATTTGCCAATATTCTTCATCAACATGCACCTCTCGAAACCTTGAGCTGTGTGCCATTGCTAGTTAGTTGTTAGTGTCTAACACATTGATTACCGCATGAAATCCAACATGTTATGTCAGTAAGTGAAGGGCAGCTACTTTTTCAATATATTCAGCGTTACATCTAAGACACAATCTGCCTATGGGTCCCTGTCTTCGTCTGTCTTCGTTTCTGCGAAATTAATGGCTCCTTTTCAGCACTTGGACTAAGTATGGACACATTATAGTAAGTAAAAACACGAAGAAAAACAAAGCAAGGAAACACGCAATTAAAATAATGTGTTGTTCGATGCAAAGAACAAATGGTCAGAACGCCAACTCAAGGCTCAGCTGTGGTACTAACAGCCAATAGAATAAAACTCTTGGTCAAAAGTAATCCGAAACATTAACCAAAAATTGTCACCCACTCCACGAGCTAGTGATTGGGACTATTGAGTGTCAGTATTTAGCAAGTTAGTTACTGCATCCCTGTGTATCATTGCATTGGCGATGTTTGAAATCTATACCTTTCTACATTCATATGTCTTATGGATAACTGAGAAGTACATGTACGACAATGGTTTAAGTTAAATATCATTTCTTCTATGATGCAGTTTTATTACAGTATGCAGATACACGACTATTGTATTGGATTCCCAATCTATATAAAAACCTTATTTCGTGTTTATATCACAAAACGCATGCATGGAAGAGTATATCTTATAAATATAGAATAACTTATTTGTATAGTTTCATGATTTACATTATTTCATAAATCATGCATTGTCATTGGTTTCCTTAACATCGAACTAATAATATACCTACCTCATATACGTTAAACAAACTTCTACCACTATTGCCTGTGTTTATCAACTCTCAGACGATTGATTATCTGCAATTCCGGTTGATTATCAAGCTGTGCAGTTGATTAATACGCTGTGCAGTTGATTAACACCTTCCGGCATTTTGTTTGGCTGAAAATATGCACTTTGACCTCGCACTACTTTTCAATCGGAACTGTCGTCTGTCAACATCAACATGGCCGAGTTGTCAATGCTGCCGCTGGTACAGATAGGTGATCGGGTGAAGCTTTGTGGGGAAGAGAAGGGTGAATATTTGGATATTTCAAATAACCTGGGTTTCCGTAGTTTTGAAATCAGACTGGAGTCCAGCGGTAAGATGGTCGCCGAGGCAAAGTACAGATTTGATATAATCCATGGGCGGTCATCCCACCGTCAATGCCCCTCCCCAGACCCTCGCAGACCCTCCCTTAGGCCACAATAATGTTAGGTTCCGCCTCTTCTCGGCATTCTGCCAATTCCCCCATCAAAAATTCCAAACAATCTACCAGATTCCGATGACGAACTCATCAACATTGATACAGATAAATTCATTAGAGATAACAGAACAGGAACACACAGAAAAGACCAAATCTGACATGAACAAGCTGTCAGAATTTCTCTGCCAAAACCTTAAGGAGTCACGGTCAATCATACAAATACCACCTCAGGAACTATACAAACTGCTTTGCATCTTTTTCATAAGTGTGGAAGGAAAGGATGGTAAACATCTAGAACCTAGTACTATTAGGGGAGTTTCATACAGTGTTGATAGGCATCTGAAATATAATGGTTACAGCATTCAAATTTCGACAAGTAAGGAATTTCAAAAAGTGACAGAAGTCATCAAAACAAAACAAACAAACAAATGAAAATGGGGAGAGAGGTAGACTTTAGAAAATAAAGCTGATCCTATTTCTAATGAAGATATCAACAAATTATACGCATACATTTCAGAATGCAAGGCACTACAGAACATCACGAAATGGGGTGATGTGGCTGTGTGTACGAATCGAGAAATGACCAAAACCAGACCAGGTTCCAACCCGAGAAATGTTAGGGCACTACCCCCACGGGCATGGTCTACTCCCGAAAACCCCTCCCGCTGTCCTGTGGTCGCCTACAACCTGTACAAACAACACCGGCCAGTGACATATTGCTTAAACGACAGTCCATTTTATGGGGTCTTCCCTGAACACCACCTCTGCTTAAAATCACATGTTTACATAGGTGGCCAGTGGTGATGATAGTGAGTTATAGTCTATTGCAGAAATGGTGTACAGGTAAATTGCACAGGTAAATCAACTTCTGTAATCAGATAATCAATAACTGCTAATAATTGCAAAATAATAAAAAAAAATTAGTTTTCAGAATCAGTCATATATTTATTATGAGATATTAGTTAAACTTGTATTTTCAGATTTGTGTGAATTCTCTTATAAATATTGTCATATATTAGTTAAACTTGTCCATATTTTCAGATTTCTATGAATTGTGTTTATCTTGTGTGACTTCAGTTTGATATTATTATCTGTTATGTTTTAATACAAATACTTCCTCGACTATCATACAGAATGTTTTTTATCCAACTTTGTAGACATAAAAAGGGGCTGTAGACAAGGGGATCCGGTATCATCTTACTTATTTCTTTCGATAGCTGAAATATTAGCTATCATCGTAAAAAATAATAAAAACTTTAAGGGCAAAAACATAAATAACAAAGAACACATGCTCTCACAGTTCGCTGATGACACATCCTTTATTTTAAATGGCACAAAATATTATAAATATGTTAAAATATTAGGGATAAAGTAAATACTGAAAAAACAAATGCTATTTGGATAGGTAGCAAAAACTTTAGTGCTCATGTATAACATCGAAGGTGGAAACTAAAATGGGGAACAATCAAATTTACCTTACTTGGGATTGATTTCTCTGTCAGAAGACATGGTTACTGTAAATTTCAACAATTGTTTTAGTATTATAGATGGCAAGTTACATTAATGGTCAGGAAGAATTTTAATACCTATAGGGAGAATAACTGTTCTTAAATCTCTTATCATTGCAAAAATAAATCACCTGTTTATATCTCTCCCTACTCCAAGTAGAGAAATAATTCAATCATTGAACAAAAAAACATACAATTTTGTCTGGCAATTACCAGCTGATGGAATAAGACGCTCAACAATTGTTCAAGACTATAGTAAGGGTGGACTCAAAATGATTGATTTAGAAATTTTTATATATGGACTTAAAACTAGCATTCAATGGTTCACTTTCAGGCTTCTTTCAGGAATACTTCCTCTTAATCATTATTTGAAAATAATTGGAATCAAACAATGTGATTTATGTAATTTATGCCAAGAAAGCAAAGAAACTATAGAACATCATTTTTAACAGTGTCAAATAACAAATAACGTCTGGCTAGACATACGTACATGGATATACTTAAAAACTGACCAAACATTCGAAATAAAGGCAGATATTATACTTTTTGGCAAAACTTCCGAATTCCAAAAATCCATTCCAACTAAAATCATCATGATTCATGCAAAATTCTTCATCTTCTTTAGCTCCAGAAAGGTTTACTGTTAATATTTATGTTTAATAATGGCTATCTTTTAGTGCTGTATTAAATGTGTATTACTGTTATATGTAGGAATAGAAACTGTATTTTATTGCTGACATTAGTATCAATGTGGCTTTAATTTGGGAATTTTATTGTTCATGTAATTTAATGTTATTTTTCCCTTTCATATAATGTAAATATCAATATTTAATGATTATTTTTCTATTACTTTAAGTGCTGTATTAAATGTGTATTACAGTTATTATATGTAGGAAATAAAAACTTTCTATCCATTTTATTATTGACTTAAGTATCATATATATCTACAATATTAGTTGACATTCTTAGTTGAAACAGGCTATAACTAAACTTCAAAGGATTTCCTATCTAAACACCTTCCTTTCAACTCTCCAGAGTTGGTGTTCGGGGAATGAGCCCATTTAATATATATATCGACCAACACCAACATGTCTAAATCCCAAAAGTGGTATAAAGCATATATTATTCTACTGTAAAGTAAGACATGCCTTCAACTCATAATTTATATAAAAGTAGGCCTAACAAGCGTTACAATTGGTCAATACATCAATTCAAATTCCGCGATTCAGTGAATTTTAAGCACAAGTTGGCAGTTGTCTGTATTGAATTTAACTTTCAGGTCTGACGGGGTCAAAATCTGGATTGACTGTTGCGCCGGTAAAAAGACTAACAAACCACAGTGCACGAAAAAATACCAAGTACAGAAGTTGAATGACAGTGGAGTACCCCCGAATCAAATAATGCAGATAGATCTATCTAGATACTAGGCTTCCAGTTAACAGCTATTAATTACAAAACCATATAATTAATAATAAGCTAGATTCTAGTCAAAATTGGTTGCAGATAGGGACTTACTTCAGTATTAGGAATAACAAAATCAAATCACAATAGATCTTATCGATCTCATTTCATCACAATTTTGCACAAAATAGCCCAAAACACCGGACTTATCATCGCATTTTATTCTAATTTTCAGGTCATCGTAACATCCAGAGCACTCACTCAGAAGTCATATCCAAATTTTGTGTGGCAAATTGTATGAAATAAACTTGTCGACGTCTATGTTAAACACCTTCTATTCCAGTTATCTTAGTCTGCATTCCGATTGTCAAATTCATCTCGCTAAGTACCTTTTACAATCATGCCTCTGCATTTGAAGCAAAACTAATGTATCGGTAAATAACACTAAACAATGGTTACTGTTTTGTAAATCACGGTATTAAAGGGAAGCGGGATCATGACAAATGATAACGGAGATAAAAGGGGTTTCACATTAAATGTATCTATTTCATAATATGCTCTAATGATATTCCTACAAGGAAGCGCTCATGGCGTGATTCGAGATACGCAGTTTGTATAAAGCGCACGTGCTCATGGCTCTCTGTCAGTGTATACACATATATACACCTAAATAGCAAAAAGCTGCTCGACCGACAGCACGGACGGAGTCGGCATTTATATAGGGGATAGAACGTTGTTTTGAGTGGCTATACTGGCGATTAGAACATGAAATTTGGGTTTAAACTCGAGACCGATAGATCGAGAGTTTAAACCATGTTTTATGTTCTCATCGCCTGGATAGACACAAAAACAACGTACTATCCCCATTCTAACACGCCTTAACAAATATACTACGCTAATATGTTAAGAAACATTGTATTTCCTTGTACAAGAGTACGTAATAAAATACTTTGTGACCTGAACTTGCGATGTGTCATTCTGCAGCGGACTGACCAATCGGAAAGAAGCTTTCAAAAGTCGGTCATTTGGCCCCGCCCATACTTGCAAGAGCTCGATCTGCATGTTGACGAGGCGGAATATTTGGATTGTTCGTGAACGCCCTGTTACGAAAGTTTTTACGACACATTTGGATTGATATTGACCAAGTTCTTATATTTCCATGTCAGTATGCATACAAATCTGTGCTTATCGACAAAATGGAAAATCGGTGATCATTTGTATAGATTTGTGAAGTGTTTTGTATAAATGCATACGACACATGTGAAATGTTTCATTTGATTTCGGATCTAAATGGATGCCTTCACACGGATGGAACGAACGTTGCAGTAATAAATGGAGTTAAGAACAAGGAATGTGTACTTTTTACCTTTTAATTCATTCAATAAATGTATTTCATCGGTCGTTTTGTTCTGTTACCTACTAGCCTTATCAGCGGGATTTTGCTAAGAGGCGAGCTTGTCGCCATATTGTTTTAGTTAGAAACGGGGCGTGGCTTAAGTGCGATGGGAGGAGCTTAACACGATTGATCATGATTATATCGCAGATTAGAACATGGTCCGTATCCAATCAAAACACGCGCTGCAAACGAATCGTGTTAGAATCATAAATATAATATGAATATAATAAATACGCATTAACAAAATAACTACTCGGCCTTCATTTACCGTACACACCAACAATCCTCCCACATATACCCTCGCATGGTTCATTGCCATACAAATGTAAAAAAAGCGCCACCCAACCTGAAAACCTTATTAGGCGCGACAGGAGGTGTACCAGACCGACAATGCTAAGTTTTTTTTACAAAATTGATGCTGGGATTTCTTAAATATGACGATGCCCACACATACCTATTACATAAACATAAAATTCTGCTAAAATTTTATTCCAAATTGTACTACGCCGTGCGAGGTGCGTAGCTAGAATAAACATACATGTCTGATTGGTCAAAACCTCTGCACAAGACAGACAACTGCCCTCGTATACTCTGTGCATACATGACAAATATTTCCCGCTATTCTCCGAAACGCGTGAAAGTAATATTATCAAAATATTTCTCGCAAAGAAACGGTCGTGAATGTAAATTGTGTTATATGATCATACAATGATGCATTATGTCCTGTAAAGTTGTTAACACACTCAACGCAAACGTACATGTAGGTACACCCTGATGATTTACACAGACAACGTTTGCTTGTTTTGCTTTTGCTTGTTATGGTTTGGGTGTAGCTGCTTTTACCAGTCTGTATACTATATAAATAGGGTAAAAGACAGCTTTGAGGCCAAGTACTGTGGAACGCTTTCGTGCCACGTAATATCAAGATATAGTTAAGACGTATTATTTTAATCGTCTAAACCTTGCACAACATTTTTTCAGGACGTCTTATCTATATGTTAACAAAATCTTTAGTATAATAATCATATGTTTGTGATAAACAACAGAACTTTTATCATTTCAACATTTTGAAATATAAGAAGTCGTGACGTTATATTGCTTTGTATTAAATACACAAATGGGTATCGATGTATGTTTTCATTGTCAGTATTGTCAACTTCCCGTAATCATGTCCATAAACATCGTGAAATCACTGTCCTGTTGCTTTTTTGGTGTATGCGAATTTCGGACCACAGGAACTAAGCGTTCATCAGAATAAGAAGTCCACGCCCATTGAAAATGGAATAACATGTCTTATACCATGCATGGACTGAGCAAACAGTATGTAAATTGTGGTACGTCTCTTTTGGGCGTAAAATGCTGCAACGAGCGACACATCTAGATAACTAGCGATAACTATATAG